GTGGTAGTGCTGGGCTTTGATTGCACAAACATGTCAAACACGGATGATCTAATGCTATGTTGTGTGGGAGATTTGCCTATCCTTTTGAAAGAGCAACAGCTTGTTTGTTTTTCCTCTATTTTGCTGCTGCAAATATAGTCATCCATGGATTAAGCTTTGTGAAATGAAGTATATTAAAAGAATGTGGACTGAAATCACTTGGACTCATTTCCCCTGTGACCCCGTAAAGTCCTGGAAGCTGTCGAGTTCAAGCATCCTCCTCTTTTCACATTCAGGTTCCTTTAACTAAGTTTTCTGCATATTTTCTGTGGTGGTATGAAGTGGGGGGGGGAGCAAGAAAGTACATTTCCATCCTCTTGATTGCTTCCATTGCAGTCCATCCAAATCTTCAATGGCAGAAAATACATCACATATCATCCAACTCTAGGACAGCACTCAAAGAAAATATATTTCAGATTCCAAGATTTTAAGGGAAGAGATCCAAGAATAGCTAAATAATAATAACATTCAGTTATACTAATCCCTACTTCAACTAGTATGGAAACTGCTATTCAGTAACGTAGGTATTTCAAAATATTAAGAAGGTACTGTGAACTTTTGCTAGAATTGCAAATGCTGGAGAACTGGTGAACTATTTTTTGTTCCAAGTGTGATGTTTAAGAAAAAGATGATTGTTTTTGACTGGATGGAAAGCTATAACTTGGGAGGGATAAAATTTTATATTTCATATTATTCATATGAAATAATGAATTTTCATAGTATTATTTATGCTTTGTTTCTGTCTGTGATAAAATCAAGATTTATTTAATTTCTTTCAACCCACTTCCACTCAGAAACATCTTTCAAAGTGAACGCCTTACACTGGGAGTGGGGAACGATGGCCCTATTATGCCTTACGGACTTCAACTCCGAGAATTGGCTCAGGAATTCTGGGAGTTGAAGTCCACAAGTCAAAGTTGTCATCATTCCCCACCGCTGCCTTACACCTCTGACTAGACTAGAGTTTATTAATCAGATATCAATTCTTGTAACATACAGACTTTTCTTGGTGAAAGTTATGAATTATAAATCTGTCCATTATTTCCCAGTTTAAAATGCTTAAAAGCAAAGCTGCTTTTGGAGTGAGATCATCAAGTCAAAACAAAATATACATATACAAAATTCTGGAATGTGGCTGAAATGATTCCTTCTTTTCCAAAGCTTTCTCAGGACAGCTCAGAAAATCTGCTTCCAGTCTGAAGGATAAAACATAGGTCCATAACTAGTAGGCAATCAGAGCTTGCCACCAACATCAAGGATTAGAAGACTTCACATACATCAAAACTGCTTCCAGATGAGACAAGTGCTTTTATTCCGGGGGGGGGGAGGGGGTTGCAATGAAGGAAGCAGACTACAGACGTAAGTACAAAAACCTGTTTCCACTACTGCAGAGGTGGGGAATGATGTTTCGTTTATGACTTGTGGACTTCAAGTCCCTGAGGTAGCATTCTGGGAGTTGAAGTCCACAAGTCATAAAAGGGCCATCATTCCTTACCCCTACACTACAGAATTAGTCAATGGTATTAGCTAGTGACTGACTCTAAACAAAATATATTTTTATGACAGCCAGAGAGGGTTTTCTTTTCTTTTTTTAATGCCATGGAATTTATTTATTTATTAAACAGATTTATATAGCCACCCAATTCACACAAGGTGACTTCGGGTGATGTATAACATAAAAAATCCACAGTTGAAATCCACAGTTTAATGCACCCCAAACCCCACACCCATCCCATGGTGGCAACAACACAATCAGACATATTTAGAGATCAGATTACAATTATCTTTGATCATCTCATTGACATTAAATTTGCATTTTCTTCTCTGTTCATGGTGTTAACATACTCAGAAACCAACCACAAGAACTTAATTCCTGCTAATTCAGGATATCTTTTAATAACAGGCCATACGTCTTTCTGAACATTTCACAGGAAATAACTATGAACCTCAAACATGGGTTTGTTTACTGTTTTACTTCAATCAATAAAAGTGAGGATATCCATGCATGATCATAACAGTGCTAATTGAATTTTTCTTATTTTCTCAGTCATAAAAGTAGTGACCTGACCAAGAACAACCCTGAGGTAATATATCAGCTGGAGACAATGAATAGAAAGCAAACTGCAAAACTAATAATGAATGGATAACATTCCCCTTTTTGGGAAGACCAAGAACGTTGTGATTTGATGGAACTGATGAGATCCTCAAAAGGATGACAGCGAGAAATTAAAAACAAACAGACACCGCAGTGTATGAAATGATTTATGGAAAGGTAGAAGCAGTTTGCAAGGACAGAAAAGTGGACTAAATGGTGTTGCTATAAACTAGATATGGCTACAGTTTCTGCACGTGTCGTGTCTTTAACATTTTTTATCTATTACTTTCTGGCTGCTTGACTGTGTTTTCTACGTGTGTGTGTGTGTGCGCGTTAGATTTGTATCCCACCAAATCTAAAATCAATTCTAATTTATTCCATCCAGAAGAGCAATTAGATGTAAAAAGCTTCAGTCATCTTTCTGACCTTATTTTAAATATATCTCTTGATATATTGAGTGGAACTCGTAACTCAAGTGTTTAGTGGCATATCTAAATCTTAGTCTAACTCATTATGGGCATCACTGTATAAATGATTATATTTCTTGATGAACTATTTGGAGTAATGCCAGCCATTCGTGCCCGGTAACTGTTCCAATATTTAAATTTCTATAAACTCCACCCTTTCATCCATGATCAAAATAAAGCAGGGAGAACTGCTGTTGTGTGGCAGTCTGCAGGCTTATTTATATAAATAAATATATGGGTGAAACAGAGCAGAATAAAAAACTTGAAACAATGCAAAACAATATACAAAGTTAAAATTCATCCCCCAAGATGGAGGACCCAAGGAATTACTTGGATTTTAAAACTTGGTAGAAAGGCAATTTTCACTGCTTTTCAAAATGCTATGAGGAAGGGGTTGGGTGAAAGTTCCAAATGTGAATGCCCCCGCCCCCAAAAGATACTTATGTTGTTTATGCCGCTTATGTTGAAAGATGTGATCCATGACCTGCAAACAAGATTGCCGGGCTGGAAAAAGGGAGCCAAATTGCTGATCCCCATTTTCCTGGAATTGCTACTGAAATATAATCCTGTTATATTTCTCTCTGCCTATCATACTGGAAATTGATGGTCTTTCAAATTCCCAGTTTGGAACATTCCACCAGGGATTTCTGGTACCTCCTTCTCATCATAGCCACAGTCCAACATTTCTCATATTCTTATGGGTCCCCTCTCAATTAGGGCTCATAGATTGAGGGTGGACCTTCTTGTATTCTCATGCTGATGCTGGGTTCCTTAAGGGATTAAAATATTGTTCCCAATTGTTCCCGATCATCAATAAATCAGAGCAGAAGAAATAGAGAATCATGGTCAGCCCAGATCTGCAACGACTTCTGTACATCTCCAGACAGAACTTTTACATGGCAACAGGCTTCATCTGGAGCAGAAAGCAGTGGCTCCAACTGGGACACCATGGGCTTGCCGATTGCCAGCCCAATGAAAGTGACAAACATTTCTGCTTTTCTTAGCCTTTTCCTGGTCAAGGTCCAAAAAACAGTAGATGACAAGAAATGAGATACATTATGGCGCAGTGGTTAGAATGCAGTACTGCAGGCTAATTCTGATGACTGCCAGGGGTTCGATTCTCACTGAGTCAAGGTTGACTCAGCCTTCCATTCTTCCGAGATTGGTAAAATGACAGCCCAGATTGTTGGAGGCAATATGCTGACTCTGTAAACTGTGAGGGCTGTAAATCACTGTGAAGCGGTATGTAAGTCTAAGTGCTATTGCTATTATGTATGAGATTCATACATAAGTCTCAGTAAAAAGATTTAATGCAAGGAAAAAGGAGTTACAGAATATTGGACTCTATATCCCATGTATCAGAGAAAACATTAAGGCAGACTCTCTTGGAATGATTTGATCCTCTCTTTCAAAAATTCCTAATAATGACTCACTTAGGAGATAAGGCTGGAATGTCCATCTGGTTCTTTTCTGCCATTCTCAAATGTTTGAGAAACATTTTTCTTCTTCCATACTCAACAGAATTCTATTACAGCCTAACTCTGTGTGACAAAAATTGCAGAGCATCTGATTCCTAGCAATAGGTGTAGAGGTTAACAGTGGACATCCCGAGTACCATTTCCCTCCCTTCAGTGGGGAAGGGATCTTCTCTCTGGGCTTGGCAAGATATGCCAAAAAGCACAAGCCTACTTTTTTAAAGTCGATAAAAGCAGTTTGATGTTGCCAGAGATCCTGCTCTTCAAACACCTCAAATACTGTGACATCTATTCCCAAAGAGCCATGTAGAAAGATAGATTATTCCATAGTCCAAAATTTCAGTGATATATGTGTAAATGGAAGTAGAAACCCAACTGTTGAGAAAACAGAGACAGACTGTTCTGTTTCATCTAAAATTCCAGAAAAAAACTGTTCTTCTGTGTACCCCTCTCTTGTGGCATCTTACACACACCAACACATATATGTGTGATCACTCAACAATTTCTTTATGAATGGCAAACCATATTAGCCCAGGGCATCCATTGTTGTCCTTAATACACAGGTTTCTTTGAAAAAGTAGCATGTAAATAAAAATATGACAATACAAATAGTAGGTTTGCACAAAATCTACTAGTATTTCAGGAACTCTCCCAAAACATGATAATCCATTCAATCTGGGAATAATGCAGTAGTTTTCTGGAAGTTAATCCTCCAAGTCAGAAGCGGGAGATTTTGCATATGCGTAACAATGCATCACCTAGTATTTTTGCATTATTACTTACAGTAATATTAAAAAGTTTAAAAGTTCATTTTGAAGGCTATAGATTTTGCCCAATTTAGTAAAGTTTCCCATATTAAAAAGCTGTTTGGTTATAAGAAAGGCTCTCAAACCAAATATTTGAAAAACAAAAGCAAGTTTGTACCTATTGTTCTTCGAAGATCTTCACACTGGCTAATATGAGGAAACTTCAGGATTTCCTTCCATTTTTTGCTTTTACCTTTGCGCTTTCCTCCACCTCCTGCAGGAGAAGAAAGGATTCTGTTATTAAGTTTGTTATTATAGCCAATTCTCATTTTCCTTATACCCTGCCTCTCTCCAAAACACATACGCTCCAGCTGTTTTTTGGTACATTCATGCATGTACATGTTTTACAATACCCATTGTTTTCATTATCATAAACTGACTGATGGGGATTTCTAGGACTCAGATTATAAAGATGTGCAACAGTTACTGGGCAATTGTAAACACTTCCTCCTCTTGTTCCAAAAATAAGCAGGACGGCCAGTTGCTGCACAGACAGCCATCTGTATAACAGGAAGCAGCCATATGCAGAAAAACTGCGCTGTGTGTGTGTGTGTGTGTGTGTGTGCGTGCGTGCACACACACACACATATCTATTTGCCAGTCAAACTGGGAACATCATTCAAAGTCTTGTGCCTTCCTTATCTAGTGAACAACGAGGAATCTCTTCCACTTGATAAACCCCCTTATACAACATTGATACCAAAGTACAGACTGGACTGCATAATTGTCAACCAACTCCAGAGGCCTGTTTCTGCTTATCTACAACTTCAAAAACTTGGTTGTAGAAGGCCAATTAGTGTGAGCAATGATAAGCAGCAGTAACACAATCTTTGTACCTTGTTTCACTTCAGTATCACTTCTAAATTTCATCACCTCTTATAGGCATCATACAGACTAATATGCCACTAACTCCCTTGTGCCCAAAGCAACGGCATCTGGCAAAGACAGTCTCTAGCATCATCTTTTCCACAGGACATCTTTGCATCCCACATAGAGTTTATAAACATTCTTGGGAAATAAAACTGGAAGCAGCCCAGTGTTAGAATTAATTCATATTTGAAAACAAAAGCATAATTTGCAGAACAATCCATGAATATCAATTAGCAATCAGAAGACACAAAGAAATCCCTTTAATCTCACAACACATGGACAGATTCAACCATAGTTATAATTGGGAAACTGTGAGCATCGTAGACCAAGCTAAATCCAAAATTCTTGAAAGCTTGGTATTCAGACAAATCATCCATCAATAGACAAATAGAGAAAAATCACATTTACACACCATTCATAGGAGACAATAAAAAAGGTAAGAATACTGGAACACATTTTCTCTAGCAGTTAAGCACCCAGCTAAGCAAGAATTAAAATGAGACAAATAACCAAGCAGAATACCCTAATTACCAATGACAAAACCATATCCCAACCAATACTGGCAAGCTATTGTATATAAACAGGGACACTCAAAAGTACTAATGATGTTACAAATTGGGTAATTAAACATCTACAAGCAAACAATCAAGAAAACATCAAAGACTCCTATAAAAGCAAAGTTAAGGTACGGTATCAGACAGCATTCCAGGGAATTGAAGGGAGTTGGGTGGTGGAGGAAGAAAAATTTAACTTGAATGCCTTTCTCTTAAAACTTTTGGGAATTAACACAAATACTATGGCAGCTATTCCGTTACTGCAGGATTTTGTGTGTATATTCACAATATACTGTTAAAGTTTAAAATGCCAGAATTAATGTATTTATCAGCTTCCAGCTTGAATTCAGCAAAAATCACTTACATGCTCAATGGTAACGGGTCCTGATAAAAATCTTTACTGGTACCAGGAAGAAGCATTTGAGTTTCTCTATCAACACAACTATAATCTCTCTCTCTGTGTGTGTATGTATAGTATATAGGGAAAAGAGGGAGAAATTTCTGGTCCCATACACTTAGATGATACATTCTTTCTTCAGTAGTTATTGGATGTTAAGTTTTCAAAAAAACAAAGTATTAGAACAACAAATGATTGTTTTTCCTTGTTTATCCTTCAAACAATGCCCAATTTAAAGTATTGCTAAAGGAAATAGAAGACTGTTGGAGCAGAATTTCTCACCAAAGAGGAATTACCAGAGAGAAAACCCATATCTGCTTATCTGTAACCTGTAAGCAAGCCACTTCCGCTTGCCTTCAAAGATAAGTAGATGCACATGGAAGGACTAGATTGATACAGTTAAGTGGAGGAATTAAAGGTAAATAACACTTTAATAGTAATAGTAACCCGTGTGCCCAACCAAAAGGCTAAGTCCAACATTATGCACATATGAGGGTTGCTGAATAGTGTTCATCCTTTAATGTTTAAATGATGGTATACAGACCTAGTATGTAGACAGTTAGACAAAGGTTTTCTGGACCACAGTTACCACTCCACCATCTAGGACAGAGGTGGAGAACTACAGCCCCTTTATGACTTTTGGATTTCAATTCCCAGAATTTCTGAGCCAGCCATGCCAGCTCAAGAATTCTGGAAGTTGAAATCCGTACATCATAGAAGGGCCATAGCTCCCCACCCCTTCTCTCGGATGAAGCAAAGTGCTAGCACTGTATTCTACTTTAGATTTATGTATAAAGACATACTCAAATTTGTTCTGAATTTCTTCTTTACATTTTGACCTATTAAGTGTTCACATCTTTAATCTTATTTTTCTTTTCAGTATCACATCTTTTTGTTCTTTCTCAGTGCAATCTCTGCACTTATTGTCTGTAGCCTTTTAATGAAAAGAGGATATAATTCTGCCTTGTCCTACATTTCCCAATTTATTTACCATGGCACGACCCATTAAACACCATCACACTGGTGCCTTTTATTATTTTATTAAATTTGCTCTACAGCCCAGTAGCCAAATCTCAAAAGCTAGTTTATAAAAAAGAACATTAAGTTGTAAATTGCCAGAAACATTCTAAAACATAATGCATCTTTATGTATCTAAAAAAATTCTCAAATAATAACATGGACATTTTAACAAACAATAACAGATATTTTCAAACATGATAAAGAACTAAAACTCCTAGAAAACACATCTATACAAATCTGTTTTCCTTAAAAAAAATTCACATTATTTTGACTTCTATCTTTTTATTTTGATTCTTGATTTTATTCAAATTTATTACATTAAAAAAGATATTTTAGGAAATGCCTTAGTTACAAGTCTAAAAATTCTGCTTTAGTATCCTTTCTTTTCTAACCTGGGATCTTGTAAATATATTAGTTTTATTAACAGGGGATGGTTGGGGTTGTAGTTGCAATTCCTACGGTAATATTCCTAGGGAATTTACTGAGCTGGATAATCACTAGAGCAACAAGCAACAAGCAACAAGATTTATCAAGTTTGGCAATCTGTAAATTCTTTTACTTACAGCATCAAGGAGAATATGAAACAGCAATTACAGGCATTAAATGAAGAGGAATAAAAACAGTTTGAAGTAATTATTGCGCAAATGAATGAAGCAGAATCAAAGAATTGTTACCATGAGACACAAATACTCTGCGCAGAAAAGATGCATACAAGCAAACCCAAACTATGGTGTTTTTTTAGAAATACATTTCTGCCAAGCTCTAAGGGAGAAAAAAGGCAGAAGCGTTCCCTAGTTACAGCGATGATTGGTGTACAATTCAGCCAATGGCTTCTCCCTTCCAGTTCCATGTCCTACAAGAAGAGCATCTCTTGATGACTCATTTGCTTGTATCCAAGTGCAATATAGCAGCACTCTCTTCCCTGTGACGTCTTTATGTTGAGGTTTCCAATCAACTGCTTTAATCTGGCTGACCTTTCCAGTTTTCAGCCTCTGTCTTGAAGCTATCCTCGCTTGCTTCAAACGCAATTAGGCATGATGACAGGAATATATGTGTATATACGTACGTGTGCGTGCGTGTAAGAACACGAGGCTATGAAGGACATTATGCACCAAAAAGGTAAGACCAGGTAAAATGGCCAAACCAAAAGCTAAAATGAGATTTTCCTGATTGCGGAATGGTTCAGATGAAGAATTCTCCTTGAACCTCACTGGGTCTCAGTGAATCCACTCACTGGATTCCCACTAGTGGTCTTGTTAACAAAAATTGAAAAAATCATCACCCAGCATGTACCCTGTTTGCTATTTAGTTGTCTGGGAATTTTCTGGTTGAACATATGTATATCTTATGCTTTTACAAGGTTCAATTCCTAAGCTTCTAAATAAAAGGCTCAGCATTTGGACAGAGCTCCTTGTGTCCTGTTTTTAGTCATTGATACTCAATAGTTTAGAGCATTATGAGAATCTACCATGCAATTTCTACTGCTTCATTTTGGTTCCTAGGAAGTAGAGATGGATATTTGAGGTTACGTGGGAATACTCCGAATAGCAGAACAAATCTGACTGTTGCTTAGTTAATTAAGTGCAATGGTCTGTGGGACTCATGGCTTTACATTAAGAGTAAGGAACCTGATTTAGCCCATTTTCAAATGTTAGGTTGAACAAGTCATAGCTAAGCATGGGAATGTGAGCAAAAAGCCAAAATACAAGTGGCAATAAAGAAATATGCATGGACGTACACATTAGCTCTGTCCTCAACTGTGGCATTTCAATCTGTGCACATTTCCTGTGGAAATCTGTAGGAGATTTATAAACTTTCAAGCAATCAAAACAATCTTCATTAAACAGAATTCCCAACTGTTGTAGGCATGTATCTATGTACATTCATCTGAACATACAGAGATGCCCTCCTGAAGAGCTTTATGTGAATCATGAAGAATGGAGCAGATAATAGATCAAACTGATTTACAATGTAGTCTGACATTTATTGACCCACTTTTAAATCACCACATATTCAGAAGATTGCTATAACAAAGTGCATATCATTATAAAATCTACTTGCATGTAAATTACCAAACCACAGATCATTCTTACAAAATAAGAATAATTAAGAAATGTTTCTAGCATCATTGGATCAGTGCATTTGTTATATGCTACTGCCTAATAAAGTCCACTTCTGTTCTAAGGCACCACATTGATTATGGCCATCAATTAATTGTTGACTCGTAGCAACCATATACATTTCAGATATTATCAAGTAAATCATTATGCTATTTTTTTTTCATTCTTATGGTGCCTCTATAACCGTGTTGGGTCAAAATTACTCCTTTCACATGCCATTGCTATTAATATGAAGTGTAGGTGTCAACATGGA